CGGTTAGTCACCTACATAATAAAAAAAAGTTCAGCCTGTGCAGACTTTTGTCCGCGGACTTTTTGTCCACCAAAATCTCTTATAACTGCATCAAGATATTATTATAGATACGCACACGAGATATTAAAAATCCCGCGTACAAAAAGTCCCCCAAACAATCAAAACACTGAGAGACCGGACAAGACAAAATTACACGAGAGCCCCCGAAAAAAGTTAGAACTAATGTTACAAGGCGCAGCAACAAGATGGAAACCAGTATTCTGTTTAAAAACTTCATCTCTTTATCTTAAACTTCATGTTACTTTCAACACAACTTTGGCTGAGAATATTCACTTCCAAAGCGCTTTTTTTAAATTTTCGGGGGACAAATGTTCGCACATCGTGTTTGTTGAGTCCGTGAAAAGTCCTCGCCGGACATTTTCGTTACAATTCAGAGATGTTCACCGCGGACAAAAGTCCTTTGCCTGCGCAGGCTATTAACCAAATAGTTTTGTTCCTACCTTATGCCTCGATGACACAGGGAGAATTTACAAGCTACAAGCCAGCGAGTTTGCTAGCAGCTTGTAAACTCGCCCCGTGTCATCGAGGCTTTATACAACAAATCATGACAGACTTAACCACATTTCCTCATCGATTGACATGTTAATCTCGACCAAGCGTAGTTAGTTATCAGAGCTCGATTGATACGTCGTTTGATCGACTAGTAATTCATAATGTATGCATGCTACGACCATAACTTATAAGCTAGCCACTAAAAATTACACTGACGACTCTCTCTGCACATAATGCTTGTGGGTGGGTTCATTTTTCTCCGGTTAACATGGTGCTCTCGGCATTTTTGTGTTAATTGAGGCTGTCAAACGAGAAACGATATTTTACATCAATAGCACAGCTGTTCCATGTCAGCCTTCAAATATGTACTTGTAAATGTGGCCGCGAAGACCCCACACTTCGCATTATCTGCTCATTCATAAGTTTTCTGAATCAGTCAGCAGATTTTTTAACTTATAAAAATTTTGATTCTTTGCTCTTGCTTCCGATAAGTGGACCCATTAGATGTTCTAAGGGGAGATTTTGCTTCATTATAAATCTAGATTTTTCTTAATAACTGAGAATTGAGTAAAAATTGCTACCGTTTAATTTAATAATAACTTATACTTAATAAAAGATCAGTCAATCTAAAGCTGTAACAACCGTGTTTTCTGGATGAATAAAGAAAATGTTTTATGTAAAAATCGTATTGGAGTGCCCATAGAATTCATTCTTAGTGTAAGTCTGAATAAGTATAGGCATGTCCGGGATATATTTATATCATAAACGTGTAAGCTATTATTTAGACAGGAGTTTTAACAATATAAGATAACTATCGATCAAACATATAATTTTACACGCGGTTATAAAACTGCCCACTTCCCAACGTCATCTCACAGAGTAATCTTAAATTGATTTTGTACGTAGACCAATTATTAATCTATAAATGTTTTCATTATTCGAAAAGATCATTCCAAGAACCGCGAAATTCAACATAGTTCTGATGTATTTAACTTAAATTTATATCATAATCCAATACAAAAATACGCATATGGTAGAAAACCTGCATTAAAAAAGGCCTTTAAAACGAAAGACAGTCTTGAACGTTTACAATCAAATTTATTTGCATTAACAAAAGTTTCCTTAACAAGGAAATCAGAACCTTAAAACATGAGACCGAAGGCCATAAATCAATGTGTTACCAGCGAGGAAGGTTTTATCAAAGTAATTTAGCGCTCTCTGCGCCCGACTACTCTGTTGAATGTTTGTTTTGCAGGCGAGAACTGAGCGCAACCTATTATTACGGTCTTGTTATACTTTTAGCCGAGTATTATGCCACGGCGCGTCGGACTGTTGTGGACTTACGTTTTGTCGTTTGTCATTTCGTTCTTTTTTTTAATCCTTTTTTCTAAACAATTTTTTTTGCTTACAAGAAGATACGCTTGATGTTTTGTTTATATTGTGTGACAAGGAGATAATTAAATTGAATGGGATTAAAGCGGCAATCATAGCATCGTGAAGTTATGCTTATGTAATATTCAAACTATTTTCAAATACACCTACCTATTAGCCGAGTATTTTGGCGCAATTACATTTGGTCACTAGCCCGAATACGAGTGCCAATGAAATTCGGACTTAGTGCAAATGAACGGAGTCGACTACACCCGTATTCGGGTAGTTTTCGTTTTGGTTATCCGACACCGTCTTCCAACCCGTATTTCAGTGTAAATATTGCTTCGGGTGCTGGAATTTGAATAATGTCTTTCGTGAAACGGGCTAGCGACCAAGTGTAATTGAGCCATAAAAATATAATATACCACGCCACATTGGATGGTTGGACTTGCGTTTTGTAGTATGTCATTTCGTTCTTTTTTTTAATCTTTTTTTTAGCTTGCAAGAAGATTCACGTAATATTTTGTTGTTATTTAGTGGCAAGGAGAGAATTAAATTAACGCGGCAATCATAGAAAAGTGTAGTTGGGCAATAAGCTTAAGGAGAATACATTTACTTACCAAGTTTCAACAGAATAGTTTTTATAGTTTCGGAAAAAAGTGGCTGTGACATACGGACGGACAAAAAGTCTGACAGACATGACGAATCCATAAGAGTTCCGTAGCCAATTGGCTGGCTAAAAAAGAGAAAAAATAATAAACAGTAATTTAATAACTCACCAAAAGTAGGTACAGTCCTCAAAACACAACTTGCCTCCGCGTTATCAAGAACTTTGTCGAATGTCTGTGGCGCTAATAATGATAAATGGTGTCTTCAGCAACCCAAATTATTCAAAAACATAAACAGCATTTCTTGAAGTATTTTACGTATGCTGGCATTTTAAAATTTCATACGAAAGTATATGAGTAATTAAGCCACAATAATGTTAATGTTGGGAATAAAAAATATGCAAACTTCTAAAAGGAGGTTATCAATTTCATCATTTTCATGAGTTGAAATGAGACATTTGCATCCCTAGTTCGATTCCTATCCACAACAATATAATTTATTTTTGATTGTCCACCTAAATCTAAATGCTTAATGTAGTTAAATCGCTTTTGAAATCTTTTGTCCGAATATTACTTTTTCAAATTCATTATTTTATTAACTTGTAACTCTATCATTGTTGCACGCAGCATACTTGCGTGATTCAATTATTCACTCAAGCAAATCCTACTTCTGATAATTAAATAAACATTTTGATTATGATTACCTACTTAATATGAAGTTATTTCCAACATCAAATCATGTTATCTTCATGCGTACATACAGCTGTTTGTTTTGTAAAACGGAACACCACTAAACCATTATTAAGCCGTCGTTACATTTTTTTGTCAATCAGCGGTGCTCAACATTTGAGTGATGGATATATTTTTCTTTGAATGCTTTTTAATGTTTGATGATTCAGTCCCTGTAACATGAGCACTAAAATTTACATTATTCACGTTTTTCATCGCGTCTAACTGTCACACTCCATAGAAATTTGACAATTGAGCGTGATAAAAACGCGTTATATATCATATCGCGGTGCTCATGCTAGGGGGCAGATGTCCTTATAAAAATCTCTATTTTTTGCATTAGTTCTCTTTGCAGATATAAATGATGTCACAATTTCATACTATACAAACATTATACAACTTGAAGTTGGTACAGTAACAATAGTTATAATAATAATAATAAATATTTCCAACACTCACATCAATTAGCCTAGCCCCAAAGTAAGCATTGTAGGTTTGTGCTATAGGATGCTAGAGGAACGGATATAATACATATAATGATACAAATTTAAGTATTTATAAAGAAATGCATATTAAATATCTATGACTGGAGTACAAATGCTCGTATCCATCACACAAACATCTGCCCCCACCGCGATTTGAACCTGGGACCTTTCGAGTAGGCGACACCATGATGTCGTCAAAATTATCATGGCAATGCATCAAAAGCGTCAAAACATGTGAAAGTAATATAAATGTCATTGCGAAATAATATTTTCAAAGTAGCATAATATTGATTCTTTTCATACTCTCCTGCATTAACTTTATTCGTGATACCTCTACTAACTTAAGTAAGACTTCATTTACCTAAACTTTGAAAATTAGATTTTTTTTTATTTATTAATTTATAGTCAGGCAACGTATGCCCATAGATACACACCTTACAACATATATACAGATATAAAACATCATAATTACTAAATAAACTTTAAATTTTATGTTATAGTACTAAAATGTTATAAAAATTGTTTGCTATCCATGGTCAATCGACAAACTCGCCCAGGGCGCCTCTAAAACGTGTTGTTATTATTAATACTCTCATTCAACATCCAGCACGTTTAGATATCGTACGTTTTGCTACAGGCCTCTTTTTTCTTAGAATTTAACTCACCTTTTCTTCGTGAATCAAGCTACAAAAACAAAAATATGAATGATCTGTTATTAACAGAAATATGTCCAATAACGAGTGGTTGGGGGAAAAAAATTTGGACGGTTCAAAAGAGTTGTATTATATACATCCAATTTGAATAAAGATATATTGATTTCTGAAAAATACCTGCTGAAAAATTCCTAAAATCAGGGTAATTTATTATTTATAAAGTTATTTTTGAAAACCACTGTCGTGGACAAAAAAAGACTGAAATTATTGCGTGATCTCGAATGTACTTCGGTGAATGGTGAAATACAACTTGTACTGGTATGAAAATACATTCGAGTGTTTTTTCAAAATTAAATTATTTTTGAATTGTAAAAATCGTATTCGTATATGAGTTTCAATAGGTTACACAATTTTTCATTCAACACCCGAATAGAAAATATGTTTTCCAAACAAGTACCAACCCATACATTTTGTTTATGTTTTTCTTTGATATTTCTTTTAGTATTTCCCACAAAAAATATATAGGTTCTCTTAGATCATCCTAGGCGCGGTCAGTCGGTCTCAATGTTACCGTACTAAAAGCTAATTTTTCTCCTTCGTAGGAGCTCATCTATAGCCAAAGCCAACGGATGTTGTCAAAGTTGCTGTGGCCCAACCCCGCCCCTAGTGCGCCCAGAGACCCCCACTCAGATCATTTGGTTAGTAGACATTTTGTTTTATTTTATTTTTTAATTTTCATTATATTTACCTACGTAATACTTACTTACACATATTCTGGGTTTAAAGTACGGTCCGGACAGCTATTTTGATATCATTTCATTAGCCTTAATTTAAAAGTTGTGTTTCGTATATTCCAAATAAAAATGTGTATCGAAAATCGTCTATGAAATAGATACAAATGCATTTAAATCACCAGAAAAATGATAAGTCGGCATAGCACCACAGATCTAGTTAAAGTAAAGCTTTACTACTTTAACTGTACCCCTAGCACGAACCATTATCGAATTCGAATAATTTGCAAACCAAAATGTCAATGTCAAATTTTGTATGGAGCTGCGCCACTTTGGACGTAACGGGAACTAAAAATCAGTACACATTTGACAATGACATTTCGGACTCGCAAACGTTACGAATTCGATTTTGGTTCGTGCTAAGGTTACTGGCCTCACTGTCAAATTATCACCTGAATATTGTCACCTATTTTTTTATCTTACCGGTACTTTAACTGAACAGTTAAAGTCATAATAAGTTGTGCAACGAACGCTCAATGTTTGATAAAAGTGACAAAATCTTTGAATACTGCAGATCATAAAGACTAAACAGTTTATTCATATTAAGATGGTTAATATATTCATATATATATGCCTTATGCACCGCCTAATGTTCGGTTATTTAAGAAAAGAAGTTTCACTTCCGTTGTGTAGTGCGTGTACACTTTTTTTTGTTTTAGTAACGATAACTGTATCAAAAATCAAAACTACTGAACACACGATTATTACTTAAACTTAGCAGAATCGACACCCTGTACCTATTAATTTTTAATTTCGGATCCACTGACAGATAGGGAAATTAAAAGTAATAGAAATAACGTAACCGTCACAACACGTCTTTTCCGGCGACGCCCCGAATACGTTCCGAGGCCTCCAGCTATAACCTTTTTTCGGGCCCAAAAAAATTGATGATCGGAATCATAGAGGCAGATGTTAATGATTCTATTATTTATGGTCGAGGCTTGTCTATTATACCTTTTTTTACTGCTAACTGCCGTTGTAAGCGAATAGTTACTCGTGCGTGTAATCGTGCATTTTGGATATAATGATGTTTATTCATTCGGTGGAATAAAACAGTTTTTTTTTAAATCGAGAGCTTCTTTTGTGCCTTGCTTAGTTTTATTCTCGAAAACTAGCTTGTCTACTTTCTTGTCTGTAATTCAGAGACCAAGAGATTGGAAAAGAAGACAAATTGTTAACAGAGGTAGGGCGTAGCGGATTTTCCGCTCGAATTGGAGCGCCCGTCTGGGGTAACGACCTTCACCTTACAGAAGATGACAGTAAAATAACATGAAAACATGAAACTTTGGGTGGTGTTGTGTTACTGTCGGTGAGTAAGGTTCCAGGGCTGCACGGAGTAGAGGTTTTTTTGTTTTTTTTTATTTTATCTTTAATGCATTTACATTGCATATGGCGGACTTAATGCCAGCATCGCATTCTCTACCAGTCAACCGGAAACAACGTGCAGAGTCAATAAAACGGCAGACAAACATAGGAAAGAGCAAACATCAAACAATGAAAAAACAAAATTAATAGCGTTTAATACATACACATATACATACATACATACACACACATAATAGTAATAATATTCTTTATTGTATAGAAATAGAAAGAAAATAACAAGAATAGAAAAACACATAAGTAAATTAAAACATGATTGATAGAACGTACGTAAAGTTATATACATATAAAGGTACCTATAATAAAGTGTCCGATTTTAGTATCCTGATTCAACTTAAGCACTATGCAATAGATACAAATAATGTTCCCGCACCGAACTCTTAACCATTCGGCCACGGAGGTCGTCTAGTACAAGATATAATAAAAGTATATATGTAGGTAAAAGTACTGTTATTTGTCTGTGGTCTATTCTAAGGTATAGATTTCTTTCTTAGGCGGGGCTAAATCAATCGTGTCACTCTAGTTCCACACATAAATGACAGGTTGCTAGTCCACTAAATGTTAAACACCGTCCTGTTTGGAGCGTTTCGAACGTCTAGAGGATTGGGTCAGAGTAGGCAACAGTTCGAGTGATATTTTTGGTATCACAAGTGTCTATAGGTTATAGTGGCCGCTTACCATCAGGCCTGCCATATGTATGTTTGCCACCCTTTTAACACAAATAAATCTTCTTTTTGGTAAGTACCTCTGTCTGTCTAGGTAGTGGAAATAAAACATCTATTTAAATAAAAATCAATTGCTGTTCGTTAGTCTCGCTAAAACTCTTGGTCTTGAAATGTTCGTGGTGGTCTAGGGAAGGTTTAAAAGGAGAGAAAAATTCGAATAATTGCCTGGAAAACCCTAAAAATGGCCCTTTTCGTTTTTTAAATAAAATGTAGTGAGAACAAAAACTATACACTAGTCAATACAGCTCTACACCGAAGCGAAGCGAGGGCGGGCCACTAGTCTTCAATAAAAATAAAAAAAATTCGTTGCCTTATTACACTGTGCCCGTGCCAACAACACAATCGCAGCAATTTTACAACATCATTTACCATTGAAAGTTCATGCAAACATTTGGATTTATAACTAAAATTGCATTCCAGGAATTTTAGAAACAAAATCGAATATGTTTGGTTTAGTTTGAAAGTTGAAACATATTCAACGCCTTGAAATTAACTCAAGCATTTATACATCATCATCATCAGCCTATAAATGTCCCCACTGTTGGGGCACAGGCCTTCCCACAGGATGGAATAGGGAGATTGGACTATGACCCACCCCGCGGTTTGTTATACAAAATACAAATTGTTTATACAAAAGTTGTTGGTAATTATGTACGGAACAACTTTTTTCATTTAAAGTTTTCCATTAAAATGATATTTTCAGGGTGAAAAAGTGAAAAAACACTTTCTTTGAGACTTTAGCGCCACCTACAATGCGCATTTTTTGTTGTACGAAATTGCAACAATGACATAAATTGTAGTACTCAAAGCCCTCTACAATTATGGTCGAAAAAAAAAGTTACTAAAATGCATACAAAACAAGAAAAATGCGTTTCAAAAATTTTTTGAGGGTTTTTTTGAGTTTTTCAAAAAATGCCTACGAGTTGAACATGCCCATCGCCAAGGTGGCTTACTGACGTCATTTGGCAACAGAAAAAACAAGACTTACCCTTTAGGTTTTTTTTTCACCACTGAACCTACAGATTGACTGTACTACTGCGCCATCAAGCTCCTCGGCTTTTATACAATTCAAACTTATTTGTCCTATATCGACATTCCATTTTCAAACCGTTTGATGCAGGCAGGAACCTGCTTTGAAAAACCGTACAGAACATATCGTGAAAAATAAAAAAATACTCGCGTTTTTCCTGCTTCCAACGTAAATAACAGTGGATCTGTTGCAGTGCGAATTTCGATTTTATTACTAGTTAATAAAGGTGATATTGATTTGGGATCGTAACTGAAGAGTTCATGTTGTCTCATGGGACCATATCGGGTTGTCTGAAGGGTGAGGTATCGAGACCCATACAGTAATTGATTGGCCCCGTGATTGATCGCTATATGTGTTCTGAAATAGAGTTAGCATTACCCTAACATCCATCCCTTAAGATGTTTAATGTAGAAACGAAAATTTAAGGTTTCGAAAATGTTTTCGCCTGATATCGTTTTCTTCTCTTAACTTCAAGTGTAACTTTGACTTAAGCCTTTGACATATATTTATATGCATATGAGTGCTTTTGAAATAAAATTGTATATCCTTCTGTCAAAGTTTATAGTCTCGTTGACTGAAAACCAAAATAACATGACACCAATCCATTGCATATAATAGTTATTACAACTTCATTGTATAAATTAATAAATAAAACTGTCTTATAATTTCAAAAGCTCTCTTCAGGGGAAAAACTTAACATCTGCTGCATACTGAGTTTTTCTATCGCTCTGAGTTTAACCTATATGTACTAAATTAATCCTTGGTTGTTAGGTAGTATTAGAAATGCATGCTGTGCTTGCATCTAGTAGGTTGCAAAGTAGCTGATGTTTTCTTTGTATGCATATATTTACATGGATATTCTTTGTAACCAGTTTCTTTGTGAGCCAAATAAAAAAAATCAGTTACAAGGTCTCCTGCCGTACATATACTGACGAATAGCAATGCTAGTCTGTAAGAAGAAACTAACTTTTCACCACAGAATCCGCTATGTGATTTGAAATGAGAATACGAATTTCAAATTATGTACACCGCGGATTCCGCAGTTAAAAGTGAGTTTGTTTTTGCAGAAAAGCAATGCTGAAAGCATAGCTTTCCGACTTTCATGATTGCTTATGAAAACCTAAACTAATAAAACAGTTCTTACATTGCACTCAGAAATGGCAAATTATGTAAGGTTTGTCAAAGTAACATGCTGTCTTAACTTATTGGCATCGCAAAGAAACAACTTTTTACAAACCGAAATAAAATGCTGCCTTTGAATGCAGTCGATGAAAAATAGTAATTTCAGGAAACAACAATAAATTACAGTTTACTCTTATTAGACAATGACACCATTTTAATATGTCCTAACAAACAAACAAACAAAAACATTATAATAACTGAAATAAATTTCAAAGAAAACTGCCCAACCATCGATCAACATCCGTAGCACATGTCATATGATGAACAAAAACAAACAGACAGACATTCTATTAACTGCGCAGACGCCAGCTGCCTAACGACAATATAACTATTTATTACCTTAATTAAACACAAACGCTTGTTAGTTTTGTCAGGAACAAACCCGTAATCATATTGTAATTAAGACCTTTTTTACGCCAATTCTCTCGGACCGTTTTTTTTCTGAAGGCTGCATAACGATTCGGCTATTGACATTTCGGAATTGGACTCTATTGTTTTGTTGGTAAAGTTCGGTTTGTAGTGTTAAGTATGGTGAACAAATATTTGGTGTTGCTTGGTGTTTTTCTTGAGTATAATTAGGATGCGGA